TTAGCATAAATCACAATAATACAAATAATAAAGATACAATTGCTTCTTTTGCAAGGCCTTCTGTGATCTCACATCGGAACTCTAGTCTCCCTCCTCAAAGACTGTTACCACGTATCTTCCTTAATCTCTTTCTACATTAATTTTCCAGACAGAGTCTCTTGATGAAGTTGAATCCCACCAATTCATCTGGATGGGCTAGACAACGAGTCCTAGGAATTCTCCTCCTATGGCCCCTAATCTCGCCCCCCAGTGCTGAGGTTACATGTGTGGAACACTGTGTTTTGCTTTTATGTGGCTGCAGGAATCCAGACTTGGAACCTTGTGATTATACAGTAGGCAGTTACTAGTAGAGTCATCTCCCCGGCTCTGTATTCTTTTTGAAGGCTGGTTTTTTTTGTTTGCTTCTTTGTTTGTTTGCTTTGTTATTTTATGTCTTGTGGCCATTCTAATATTCTGCAAGAAATTTTAGTGACTTATTCACTTATTCTGTTTCTCTCCTTGTGTAAGGACTGTAGCAGCCCTATTTCTGGATCCTTCACCCAATCTAAGGTCCTGGACGCTCCCACAAACTTTACATTATTTAGAAGTTTCTCTGGACACCGCAATGAAAGCTTAGAACAGTGCTTCTCAACCTTCCTGATGCTGTGGCCCTTTAATGCATTTTCTCATGTTGTGGTGACCCCTCAACCATAAAATTATTTTTGTTTCTACCTCATAACTGTGAGTTTGCTACTGTTGTGAATCATTGTGGAAATAGCTAATGTTCGACCCCTGTGGAGTCTCGACCCACAGGTTGAGAACCACTGGCTTGGAGGAATTTAGTAGCAACACTGACTTCTGTGGAGGAGTTGGGGGAGGGGAGGTCCCTCTTCAGAAATGGCATTGATTGAGCAACTTGCTATGGCACATCTCTGCCTCCATGGATACATATTCTAGCCTGGACCACCCAAGGGACCAAGTAGTCAATTTAGTGAACTTCACCCTCATGTCCCAATACATAAAAGTGTTGCTCTTTTTTGACCAGGAAGTTTGAGGGTAAGCAAGTTCAAGAGAGAAAGTACATTTATCACTGAGAATCTGTTTGGAGATGAGGGAAGAACATGGCAGACATCTTACTTTCTAAGAACTAGTAGAAATGATCAGTGTTTGTGATCCTAGGCTGAAGGAGACCTGACTCCAACAAGGAAATTCTCCTTCAAGTCAACCAAACTCCACAGCATGGGAGGCATAAACTCGGAGTAGTCCCAGATTTCTTATTCATCTGACCTACACACAGTTGTCTCTGCACCAAGACAAGCGTATTTGAAATTTTCTAGGTTGCCATCATTGCCAGAGCTTAGAGTCCAGTCATAGAACTCTGTTGCTTTAGGGTTTGGATTAGTTCATAATCACTATCTTTCTGCATTCCAGTCTGAAAAGACAGACTCTAAAAGGGGTCTACATCTGAAAGAAAACCCAGGCATGATCTAGTCTGCTTCAACACTAGCCCAGAAAGATAGGGTCACACCAGCAAACAGTGACAGAACCAGGCCTGGAATGTGACTCTTTGGCTCTGAGTCAATGCTCTTTCCACTCCCCTCAAATGCCCCCAATGGCTGTCAATCCAAAGACATAACCCTTGGAGAAAAGAGGTTGTGAAATGCTTCCACTTGAAGCCCAGGGCTGGCTACAGGCCCAGATTCTTCTCCATCAGCCCTCCCAACATAGTCTGAACTCAGTTCCCAACCTGCTAGCATCGGATTAACCCTTCTCCTCCATAAGAGCAAGCCCTGCCTCCCCAGTCGCCCTTAGAACAATTCTCATTCACACTTCATTCAGCACCACTGAGCCAGGGCCTTTGCAACCTGACTGGTTTTTGTCTTTGTCTTTCATAATTGCTTACCAACTCTGAAAAACTGTACCCCAGATGTTTGTTTACATTCAAAGCTGAAGAGCTAGCTTTGTAGTTTTTCCTATTCCCTTGAAGAAGTCAGAAGAGATCTTCAAGGATTTGGGTTCTTCGACTCTAGATCATCAATTCCTTATGCCTCCCACTGGTGATGGATCCCACTTGGTGGCAGGCGACACTGGGAAGTACAGGGAAGGAATCGGGAAGATGATCCTTCAGAAGAGATTTGACCTGCACGAATCTTCCCTCTGCCCATCCCCAGGGCTGTCAACCTCCGGCAGGTTTCTTCACACCTGCCTATGTCATTATCTCTTGGGTTTCTTCTATAGCTTTATAGTTTACAATGTTTTTTTTAACTCATTCCAAGTGATATCCAACACTTTCCTGGGGATAGATGGGACAGATTTGCTTAGTAGAGAAGAGGCGATCATATGTACTTATGTTTATATCTGGATTTATACCAACGAAGGTAACACAGTTAGAAAGCTGTATGGGGCTGGTAAGATTGCTCAGCAGGTAAAGGCACTTGCCACGAAGAAGGAGAGGACTGACTCCTACAAGCTCTCCACTGTTCTGTACAAGCACAGGAAGGCACATGTATGTACACACACACACACACACACACTCACTCACACACACTCAAATTCATCAGTTAATTTAAAACGTTTAAAGACAGAAGTATAGTCCAACTGACTCTGTGCTCAGAGCCCCTATGATCTTTTCCATCTTGCTTGTCCAATTAAGTAAAAAGCTTTCTACAATACTACTGTTCTCAAACGACTTGTCTATTCACTCTCAGTAACTCCTGAACACCCAACAGTTAGAATTACAGCCATTCATTTGGAGTCTCCTTGAATTCATTTACAATGGTGGCTTTGAAATGTTACTTCTACTACTTCAATCTTTAGGGGTTGCTTGAACCCCACAATGTGCATTTAAGCCTCTGGAGTATTGCCCTGGGTTGCTCTACACCTCAACACAGACTTACCCATCACAAAATACTACTTCCTGCGGAAACACTTCTGGATTCACCCCATCTCACAGTGACCCCTTCCTCATGGCATTCCATTGCTTGAATCTGCTGCACCACTCCCTCTGTGGGCCTTCAGTGCAAAGGAACACCAGACAGGCATGCAAGCTGCCTCTGCGGGCTGGGCTGGTTAGCTTTCATCAACTGGACACCGATTTCAGTCACCTAGAAAGAGGGACTCTCACTTGAGAAATTACCTTGATCAAACTGACCTGTGGGCATATCCATGAGGCATTTTCTTGATTAATGATGGTTATGAGATGGCGGAGTGCACTAGGGAAGGTGCCACACTGGGGTAAATGATCCTGAGTTATGTAAGAAAGCAGGCTGACCATGCAAAAGCTGCACAATTTTAAACCATAAAAAATCCTAGCACTGAAAATGGGAAGTGGATGCAAAGTCCCAGTCCTAAGAAGCTGTTTGGTTGGGGATTGATAGCTTCCAGGAAAGAGAAAATCAGTTTTCTCCAATGGGGTGTTACTGGGTCTACCAACCACAGTCCAGGGTAGGCCCCAAGCCCAGTAGTAGTAGCACCAACACTAAACAAACCCCTTGCTGTTTGTGGGTTGGATTTTTTAGATGCCTTTTATTTTAGTGGCTTTGTTTGTTTATTTTGATCTTTGGGAATTTTTGGTTCTTATTGTTTTTTTGTTTTTGTTTGTTTTTTGTTTGTTTGTTTGTTTGTTGTCTTTAAAGAGAGAAAGAAAGAACATAAAGTTAGGTAAGTAAATAGGCAGGGAGAATCTAGGAAGAGATAGGGAATGAGGAAAAAAAATTGACCAAAACATCTATAAAAATTTACATAAAACTTAATTTTTTTTAAAAAAAAATTGGGACCCTGAATCTTTAACTGGAAACTGGTGATCAGCCTTGACCATTCCATCCCTAAGGATTATAGAGGTGAAGGTGCTTTGTAAGTACTGTTGTAGGATAGGTGATGGACTTCCCAAGTCCAGGCACCTGCTGTAGCACTGCCTCACGTCCTCCTGCAGTGCATGCCTTCTGGATCTGTAGAGAGCAAACACTGCCTTTTGTACCTGTGCTCCTGACTTATGGCATTCTGATACTGGAAATGCCCATGATGGTTGGTCTATTATTAGGTTTGGTTAAATTGGCATAGGAAGGCTAAAACCAGGCAGCAGAGCCAGAGCCAACCTTTTAGTTTCCCATTTCAGGAGTCAGTCTCAAAAGACAATTTCTAATTTCTTATTTATATAAATACAGTGCGAGCGTTCGTTTCTTCAAGACACACTAAAGGAAAATGGGCTTCTCATCACAAGACTGGCTAGTCTGCCTTTCCTGAGATAGCTCAGCCCTGGTCCCTAACCTAGGAACATTTGCTCCAAACTGGAACTTGAAATTCAGCCAAGTTGGGTAGACTCCCTAGTTCCTCCCTGCTGGCCTGTCTGAGCCTTGATGCCCTGCCCTGGAGCAAATGCTCATGATTCCAAATGTGATGAGTCTTCAGGAAGAGCAAGAGGTTTGAGGGGGAGGAGTCTGGGGCTTAGGAACACCCAGTTTCTTGCTCTGGGGTCTATCTCTGCCTCTGAGATAGAAGACCTTGTGCCACCCACATTTGCTTTATGTGTTTATTCATCCTTTGAAGTGACTAATTAAATTCCACATACTTAAGACATACAGCATGATATTTTGCTATCAGTACACATTATGGAATGACTAAATTCAACTAATTAATGTATGAATCATCTTATCATTTTTTATAATACCGAAAATGAATTCTTTGCAATTTTTTAAAAAGAATATATTATTAACCTATATTAACTCTGCTCACCACGTGATGTATAATATTCTCCACTTTCTTTGTGTAACTGAAATTCTGCATTCTTTTTGCCAGTCTCCCAAATCCATTCAGTATTTCTCGAATGACCATTCTCTTTGCTTCTATAGTTCAGTTTTCTGAAACTGTAAATGTCATACTGTTCCCCTGGGATTCAGGGCTCCCAAAGTATGACAGGCTGCAGAGGGCTAACCAGCTCCCTAACACATTTACACTCTCCCTTCATTTACCACCCCCACCAACTCTAAATCAGCCAAGATATTTTAAACCTTGTTTTGATCTTCTTTGCATATCAGTTACACTATTTCTGAGTGTGTTTATTTTTATTTTTTTTTTCCGGTGGTGAGCACATTACTTTGAGCCCGCTTGTAGCACGTTTCCACTTCCTCTCACTTTCCCGAATGCCTCTGTGACCTCCAGGCATGTGGCTCAGAGCAGCCTAGATGATTTTCATAGGGCTGGGAGCTTTGCTGTAGCCCGGAGACATAGGTTCTTCCGCCTCTGGTGACCCATCGCTCCTGACATCTGCAGAGATGAGATGAAATTTCAGTTGTTTCCTTTGCCCCATCTCCCAAGGAATCAGTTCTTATCCCCAGTCAGATAGAGGGGAAAGTACACAAAGCAGAGGCCAGGGACCTACTCCTAGCTCTGATAGTGACTTTGAGAAAACTCCTCATCCCAAAGTTCCTATGTTTCTGTGTTTCCAGGATACTTACCAGCATAAAAATTTTGCTGTATGAATAGCAAAGTAACTATATACTAAGGGTTGTATGTGGCCAGGACCAGGAAGCAATGTATTAGAGATAGTGGAGGGTTGAGCAAGGATTTTAAGAGGTGATTATTGAAGGTTTTTTCTCTGAATTATCCCTTTCTGAGAATATTGTTTGTTCTATGACTTGTGGAACATGCATGCTAAGCCCTGTGAATAAGTCATGATGTATTTGAGCCACACACTCCCACATACTCCATACCCAGAATACCCAGCTAGTAATATAATTTGCCCAGTACTCATGCTTGTTCTCGGTGGTTACCAACCTACCTTCTGATTTTGACTGTGGTGGGCATTTGTTTCGAAAGCTCTAGCTTTAACGGTCACAATTCCTTAACTATCCAGGAAAACAACAGCATTCTGGCCTGTTAGAAACTAAGTTTTAAAGTGGAAGAGCAAGTAAGAGGTGCCTGCTGAAGCCAGATTGTGAGATTCAGATAGAAACCTCCATTTGCCCTCTGTGCAGTTTGGGACACGTTGAAGTCTTTGAACTGGAAACAAAGCTGTTGGACCTGCATAGCACTGCATGAGATAACACCCCTCCTCAGTGCTAAGTGCTCCATACAGCTAGCTTGGCTAGTACCAGTGCTAGACAGGAAATTAAAGGTCATTTTATCCTGTCCTCTCACTTGAAAGAAGAGGAAACTTTGACTCTAGCTGTGTCGCACAGATGCTTCATAGCTGTGCTGACTAGAACTTTTATTTTGTTTTTGAGGCAATGTCTCTGTCTGTAGCCGAGGTTTGCCACAAACTTCCAGCTAGTCTCCTGCCTCACTGCCTCTAGTATTTTGTTTTTCATTATAAAAAAGCAATGGGTTCCTGAGTTTTCAGAATGGACTTTCCTTCCCAGAGCATATGTAGGAGATGTGGATGTTCCTATTTGCTTTAAATAAGTATACAGGTTGCCTGCCTTAAAGTAGTGGCTTGAGAAAGATGACGGCTCCATTTACCTTGTGTTTCAAGTGCAGAGTCGAGGGCCAGCTTCCTTGGCTTGAGAAGATGTGGGGATGTGTAAAGTGGCTAATGTGTATAGATTCCAAAGCTGCCACGTCTCCCATCCAGAAGTGACATCTTACATATGAACATACTGGACCTCTGTACATCATGTTCAACAGCAAAAGGAAGACTTCCTGCTTGTGTACTTTCCCAGAATTGAAGAGATGGGGGACAGGGACAGATCACTCCCCTCACAACAAATAATCCTATTGCTTTCAACACCAGTTCCTCATTTAGATGTTACCACAGGAAGCTTTAGCTGTCACCCTGACATTAACCTGAGTCACCTGGGAAGAGGGAGACTCAGTTGAGGAATTTCCTACACTGGAGTGGACTGTAGACATTTTCTTGATTGCTAAGTGATGAAGGAGGCCCTAGCAGACTGTGGGCTACATCACGCCTAGGCAGTTAGAACTGGGCTGTATAAGAACCGTAGCAGAATGTGAGCCTGAAAACAAGCCAGTGAGCAGTTTCTCTCCATGCTGTCTTGCTTTCAGATTACTGCCTTGAGCTCCTGCTGAAATCAACTCTTTTCCTCCTCAAGTTGCTTTTGGTCATGATGTTTATCACAGCAACAGAAAGCAAACAAAGCACAAAAGTGAGTCATCCTTTCCCACCTTTCTTTGTCCTTCTAGCCACAAAGAAGTCAGGCAACTCATAGAAAACACAATGGACAAAGAATGTATAAAAATGAGTACCAACCCAATATCATAAAAATAAACTGTAATATTCCATGCTCTCAGTGTGATAGCCACTGTGTTTATCTACTTTATTAAATAGGATTTAAGATTCAAAATTTGGGCTCACTGGACATACTTTAGGGCTTAGTAGCCACTTGCAGTCAATGACTACTTACTGGACAATCATTGCAAATAAAAATACTGCCATAATTGTAAGACTTTCTATTGGGCAGTGATGTCTATACAGATAAAACATTTGCAAAAACTTAACAAAAGCATTGGCTCTGGGTGTCATATTATCTGATCCCAAAAAAGAAAAATTTAAATCAGTGTGGTATTACCAATTCATCAAAGAAAGTTAACCTTTTTAGGTACTTAGACCTAAAAAGAATCCCAGGTGGGACTTCATGCAAATCCGTACCAACAGAGCAATCAACGCCAAGAGCCTTGGAGACAAAGTAACGACGAATTTTAAACTTAAGTTTTTGTCAAAGCTGAAGGCATTAGTTACTAAAACTTAGCTCACTGGAACTAAAGCTTCAGTGATACAGTTGTAATTTACAGAAAGATCTTAGTGACTTAGCTGAAGTGAATTTGCATGTATAATGAGGCCTGAGTGACAAGATGAAACAGGCAATGTTGATCTGGAAGGCAAACCTCCAAACACAAGGAAAACTACACACAGTGGTTCCGAGATGGAAAAGCATTAGGAAGTATGGCAGGGATAAGGCTCAACGAATATTAAATATGAAGTACAGAGCTAGATGAAACTAAGCAAGCAGTCAGAGCCGGATCGGAAAGGGCTGTGTGCTTCACGGTGACCAGTTCATCAGGAAGGGGCTCTTACAGCTTCAGAAAACTCATCCTGGGAGCTGAGAACACAAATCATCAGATAGCATAATTCAAATCCCTGCACTGTAACCTTAGGAAGCTGAGACACAAGTATTCTGAGATCTTGGCCTGGGTTAAGCATAAAACTGTAAGAGGAAGCCCTGTCTTAAAGCAAATGGAAGAAGTCAGGGTTAGGGATGAGTGGAGAAAAGCCAGGCACTGCTCTATAAAAATCTCTCTTATGGGGTAAAAAACAGGCAGGAAAAATATAAAGATGGGTGAGAATGAGCTAGTCACTAGTATGCTGGTCTAACTGGATGTCTGTAGAAGAATATAAATAGATTGATATCTATCAACTTGCACAAAACTCAAGTCCAAGTGGATCAAAGACTTCAACATAAATCTCAACCAGATACACTGAGTCTCATACGTGAGAAAGTGGGCAATAACCTTGAATGCTTTGGCACTGGAGACAACTTCCTGAACAGAACACCAATAGAATAAGCACTAACATCAACAGTAAATAAATAGGACATCATGAAACTGAAAAGCTTCTGTAAGGTAAACAATAGGACAAAACAACAACCTACAGAATGGAAAACAATTTTCACCAACTCCACGTCCAACAAAAGGCTAATATCCAAAATTTGTAGAGAACTCGAGAAGCTAGACATGAACAAACCAAATAATCCAATTAAAATGGAGTATAGATCTAAAAAGAATTCTCAACAGAAAAATCTTAAATAGCTGAGAAACACTTAAAGAAATATTCAACATCCTTAGCCATTGGGGAAATGCAAATCAAACTACTTTGAGATGCCATCTTAGACCTGTCAGAAAGGCTAAGATCAAGAACTAAAGAGACAGCTCATGCTGGTGAGGATGTGGAGCAAGAAGCACACTCCTCCACTGCTGGTGGGAGTGCAAACCACACAACCACTTTGGAAATCAAGTTGGCAGTTTCTCAGAAAGTTAGAAATAGTTATATCCCAAGACCCAGCCATACCACTCCTGGGCAAATACCCAAAGCATGCTCCATCCTGCCACAAGGTCACTTGCTTAGCTATGTTCATAGCAGCTTTATTCATAATAGCCAGACATTGGAAACAACCTAGATGTCCCTCAACTGAAGAATGGATTTTTTTAATTGTTACATTTACACAATGGAGTATTATTTAGCTAGTTAAAAGAAATGGCATCATGAAATTTGCAGGCAAATGGATGCAAGTAGAAAAAAAAAGCATCATGGTATAATCCACAGACCTAGAGAGGCTTATCCACAGACATGCTATAATCCACAAACAAGAAAGGTTGCAAAGACCTTCCTGGGAAGGGGAAATAGAATATATTTCTTGCATGGACTACTGGCAGCTTGTTGGGATCAGGTGTGGGGAATAGAGGGAGAGAATACTGGGAAAAAATAACTGAAATTGAGGGTCATTTTGGGGACCAGGTAGAAATCTAGTGCAATGGAAATTCCATGCTGACTCTAGCAAAGACTCCTAGTAATGGGAGACATGGAGCCTGAACTGGCCATCATCTGTTACTAGGTAGCCTCAAGTGGACTCAGCCACAAAACCTCCAACCTATGGTTTGTCATGCCTACAGGATAGGCTGGGACCAGAGCCTAGCATAATCATCATCACAGAGACTTGGTCCAGCAACTGATGGGTGCAGATGCAGAGCCCCACAGACAAACCTTGAGTGGAATCTGAGTCCTGTGGAGGAGGAATAGGAAAGATTGGAGGAGCCAGAGGGGTCAAAGACACCACAAGAACACGGCCCACAGAACCAACTGACTGGGACTCAAGTGGGCTCACAGAAATCAGGGAGCCTGTAGGGGTCTGACCTAGGTCCTCTAAATATAGGTTATGGTTGTATAGCTTGGTGTTCGTGTGTAATTCCTCACAGTGAGAGCTGGAGGGCTGTCTCTGACTCTGTTGCCTGCCTTTGGAAACCTTTTCCTCCTACTGGATTGCCTTGTCCAGCATTGATATGAGAGTATGTGCCTTGTTCTACCTTGTTATATCATATTTGGTTGATGTCCCTGGAGGGCAGCTCTCTTCTGAGGGGGGATGAAGGAAGGGCAGTTGATCCAGGGGAATGGGGAGGTGTAGGGGAGAGACTTGTGGGGGTGAGAGGGGAACGGAATGTAATATATGCAATTGGGGTCTAATATATGAAAGAAAAATAAATAAAAAGGGAAAACTAGTCACAGGTATTTCAGGTGTAAAGCCAGCATAATTTAA